TTGATACCTGATCACTTGAGATCAATTGTTCCTACGATCAACAAAGTTTATCATATATTTTTTGTTTTTGTTTTATGATGTATCAAAAGCTTCCTAATGTAGAACATAAGTCTTGTGAAGCAAAACAGAAACACCACAAAGTGAGCCATAAATATTTTTAAATCACACCAAAAACCTTATTATACAAACCATAACTCTCCTAAAACAAATCAAATACACCACAAAACACACCAGAAACTTCATAAAACAAACTACAAACACAGTAAAACAAACCATAAAAAACATACCAAAAACCTCCCAACGCATGCCACAAATTCCCTAAAACAAACCAGAAACATCACAAACCAAACCACAAATATTTTGAAAGCACACCAGAAAACTCATAACGCAAACCATAAACACCGTAAAGCAAACCACAAAAACAAACCAGAAACATCCTAATGCAGACCAAAAATCTACTAAAACAAACCAGAAACCCCGCAAAGCAAACCACAGAATTTTAAAAAACACACCAGAAATCTCATAATGCAAACCACAAACACGATAAAGCAAACCACAAAAACAAACCAGAAACCTCCTAATGCATACCACAAATCTCCTAAAACAAACCACAAACCCCGCAAAGCAAACCACAAAGTTTTGGGAAGCAAACCAGAAACTTCTCAATGCAAACCACAAACACGATAAAACAAACCAGAAACTTCTCAATGCAAACTACAAACACGATAAAGCAAACCACAAAAGGCATACAAAAATATGAGAAACCAAACCATAAATCTCACAATGCAGACCATATCATCCGTTGGTCGTTGACCGGTTAACGAAAATCGTTGACCGTTGACCGGTCAACAAAAATCGTTGACCAAACTCCGATGACCGTCGGTGAGCATATTCCGGCGCCGATAGACATATTCCGGCGCCGATGACTAGATTCTTACGCCGGTAAGCATATTCCGACCACGGTGAGCATATTCCGGCGACGGTGGCATATTCCGATGACAAAATAACATATTCCGGCGACAAAAAGGCATATTCCGGTGACCGGCGTCAATATTCCGGTGACCGAATTCCGGCGACCAAAATTTTGGGCCGAAAAATACAAAAATATTTTTTATTTTTTATTTTTATTTTTTAAACATATTTTTCATAATGACAATTATACCCCTGCTTTAATTTTAAACTAGGTCAACTCATCTAATAAAAAGTCATCACAACCCTACCTTCCTATTGGTTGGAGACTAGTGTTGTTACAATAACAACACAAGAGGTGTTGTTATACTATCTAGTCCCCATTTTCTCCAATATATTGGCCATAGAGTGAGTTATATTTTCACGGATAAAGATCGAATCTCAACTTCATGATTAAACATGAGACAATCAACTATTACATCACGTTCTTGTGATTTTTTTTTCTAAACGAGAAGACAATACAGATACATAATTGTCGACTATTAAGTCATTTAACGAAGTCGAACCTCGATAACAATTGACAAAAATAGAGTATGGTGAGCACCAAATGTGTCATCCTATTTCAATTCCAAACTGAAGGGATAAGAAGGCAGAGAGATTAATGTTCTTATGATATTCTATGCTTTTATTACTATGTGCTAGGGGTGTCCATTCGGGTTCGGTTTTTCGGGGTTTTAGGTTTCGGGTTCGGTTTTGCTTATTGGTTTTTTGGGTTCCGACTGAAAACCTCCAATGAATAGAACTCAGCCCGTATTCTTAGGCGTTCGGATTTTTGGGTTTCGGTTTTGCTTTAACCGAACCCGAACCCAATAAGGAATTTTTGGGTTTCGGGTAACCAGAACCCGCAAGTTCTTATCGGGTTCGGGTTCGGTTTTCAGTGATTTTCGATTTCGGGTTTTCGAGTTTTTCGGGTTTCGGTTCGGGTAACCGAACCCGACCCGAACTGACACCCCTACTCTGTGCTGAAGGGGGAAAGTTAATTTGCTAACTTGAAGATACTAACTGATATCCAAAATACATGAACTAATATCCAAGTACTAAAGTATCTAGAGAGCACAGACTAGTATTCAAAGTTTGCTAACTGATATCCACCATGAATCAACTATTATCCCAAATTCACAAACTAATATATAAACAACACATAATTAGTATTCAGATAACACATAAGAGTATCCAGAAAACACATAAGAGTATCCATTTTGAATACTAGTTGGATGATTGTGGATATTAGTTGATATCTGCTATCTGGATACTAGTTTGTGATGTGTTGAATACTAGTCTGTGCTATCTAGGTACTTAGCATACTTGGATATTAGTTCATACATTTTGAATATTAGTTAGTATATACTAACGAATATTCAAGTTAGCAGAATAACTGATATCCAAAAATACATAAACTAGTATTCAAGTACTAAAGTATCTCTAGAAGGGCCTAAGTTCAGGTACTTAAACCCTCTTTCTTAAGGAAAATCTTAAAGTGTTGTGATTGGCCGGTTCAATTTTAGGTAGTTAGTGGAGAGTTATTGATTAATTAGTTGTTAAGGATATTAAGGGAATTGTAAATAATTAAAAAAATATAACCCTAACGGTCTATAAACCCTCATTATTTTTTTTCTCACCCGCAGTCGAACCGTTTCTCTTCTCGTCAAAGGACGTTCTCCGATTATCTTGTCCGGTGCAGTCGCCGGCTGTCCTTTCTGCTCCCGCCAGCTAGTCTCCGCCAAGCGCCAACCCCTGCTTCCGTACTCTGGTTCCTGCCGCCGTACTCCCATTCCCTGCCGTCGTAATCCCATTCCCTTCCCTCAACACTCGGCAGTGGCATCTCCTTCAAGCTTCGGTCGTCGGTCCTTCAAGCTTCGGTTCGCATTCCGTCAAGCTTCTATCGTCTCTGCTTCGTGTAGTTTTTCTTCCCCTGCTGCCTGGAGTTCTTCTTCGTCCGACGTCGCACTCTCAAGTCTCGTCCAGCTCCCCTCCGCTATTAACGATTTCACTAGTATTAATAACAATCTATTATTACTTATGTTGGTTACTATTGTTAACAATTCTGCTTTATGTTATTAACGTGTTCAATACCATTATTAACGTTTGATTATATGAATTGTAATATTCTTTAACAACAACTTTTAATATCATCACATGCTTGTTCTTATTATGTGTTTATTATTAACTTTTTGGTACCATTGTTATCTTTTAATGTGTAATCCTTATTATTAATGTTTGTGTTTCCAGTTCGTTAATTTTTTTACCAATGTTGCTTGTCGGAGTCCACCATATCATTTAATTATCAACATCTTTGTGGTGATGATGAATGAAAAAACTAAGCATTATTAATTTACGTATTAGTTAAATTTCCATTTAGTCAATGTTACCAGATAATGCAAATGTTTACGTTTGTGATAAGTAATAAAATTTGCTAACGTTATCAATGGTAATTAACAATTCAACAACGACCAATTAAAGATTTAATTGTCAATGGTTAACCATTTATTTTTAATTTTATTCGCTTGCGTTTGTAACAATGTCAAATGCCATTATCAATCTTCCGACACATGTTTCTTATAGTTCCCATTTGTAACATTTTTTATATTTTATTTTGAAGTTTGTTTGAAAGTTTTTTTTAATAATTTTAAAACTCTTATCAAAATAAAACAATACTATTATTAACCTATGCAACACACTATTTTCAATAAAAGGTATTGTTAATAGCTACGTCGTTATTAACAAAATCGCATCTTCTTTCAACGTCAATATGCAAAATAATTATTAATATTGAAGCGATGTTCAATATCATACTCAAACGGTTGACAAGTACCATTATTAACGTGTCATTTCGCATTATTAATGAAAACTTGTCACTTTGCAATATATCTTCCATACCAATCAAAACACCTCGCCCGTGATTCATTTCAGCCCTACGTACTTCGAGATGGGATCTCCGATGCTCGAATGGCGATCTCCGATGCTTCCTTGGCGGCTCCTTCTCCCGAAAGATGGTTCCTTCCCGGCGTGACGGCGGTTTCTTCAGATTACGGCTAGGCGCGACGGTGGGTCTACTGCTGTTATGACGGGTGTTATTGCGGTTGGTGATTGGTTGTTTCGGAGAAACGGAATGCAACTGTAATAGCAGCTGACGAGGAGGGAACCTACAGTGAGGGATGGTCGGCGAATGGAGGATTTCGGCTGCGTTGGTGGATGGGTTAGGGTTTTATTATTACATTTTTCAATTAACTATTAATATTAAATCTATTAATTAGTATTAAATAATACCCCTTTTACCCTTAACTATCTATTAACAACTAACTCCCAGTTAACTACCTATATTATTTTCAACCAATCAGAAGGCTTTAAGAAACTCCTTAAGGAATGTGGCTTAAGGACCAGATCTGACCCGCTCTAGAAGATACTAACTGATATCGTTAGCAGATACTAACTGATATCCAAAATACAACAAGTACTAAAGTATCCATATACAACACATAATTAGTATCCACATAACACATAAAAGTATCCAGATAACACATAAGAGTATCCATATTGAATAATAGTTGGTTGATTGTGGATATTAGTTGGTATATGCTATCTGGATACTAGTTTGTGATGTTTTGAATACTAGTCTGTGATATCTATATACTTTAGTAAAATCAGAATACTTGGATACATGTTCATAAATTTTGGATATTAGTTAGTATATACTAACAACTTATGCCGTTAGCAAAATAACTAGGCTGGATGCTAAAGGATTAAGAAGGCAGAGAGATAAACGTTCTTATAATTTTCTATGCTTTTATTACTCTTTGCCTGTGACAATCCAAAGTTTGTTGTACAATTCAATTGGGCCCATGATATTTTGGGCTTCTGCATACGTTGGACTGCCATGAATAAATCAGTAAAAAGCCCAGATCCTTCTGGATTCCACTCCACGCAAATCCAAATTGGTAACCGAAACTCAAAGTCAATCTGAGGACGAAAAGAATTCCAACACAGACACCTCACACAGTCACACCTACAAATACCTTGAAAAATCACACGGTCGAATGAAGAACAATATATAACGAAAAATAAATTGCCTCAAATTACCATATTTCTTCGTAGTCGCACCACTTCCCGACTTTCCTTCCCCGAGAACCTTCGAAACCCCATTTCCCGGCGATCGGGGCGCAATCGAAAAGTAGGAAGCTTTCCGGCGCGGGTTAGATAATGGATTTCGAGCTGAGAAGGGCGAGGGAGAAGCTAGAGAAGGAGCAGAAGGAGAGGAAAGACAGAGCTAGATTGAGACTCGAAAGAGATAGGAAGGCCAAAGAAGAGGCTCGCAAGCAGCGAGAAGCCCTCGAAGCTGTTCGGAGATCCCGGAGGCTCGAAGCCGCCGAAGCCCAACTCAAGGTAACCGTCCTTCTTCATACCATAACCCCTTTTGCCCTCGATATTTTGGTTTCTTAGATTCATGAAGAAATCTAGACTTTTCTGGGTTCAATTCAAAAAAGGTAAAAGAACCCAACTTTGATCGAATTCGGTATGGAATCCTCGATGGTTGATTGATTAAGTAGTTAGACGGGCAGAATCGTTTTGAGTTTTTAAGCTTTTAGTTGTGTCGTCATGATAATCTCTTTTACATGTGCGCCTTACAAGAAACTGGTTTATGTTTACAGGCAGATGAGCAAATGCAAGAGAATTTGATTGCCGGGAGAGGAATTGTGTTCTCACGTGTGTTAGAAGCTGTAGGTTTCCAAGGAAGTGGGGATAAGATCAAATTGCCCCCTTCTTGTTTCACTGAGTTATCCGATCAAGGTGCGTTTGATAAAGGACCATTGTACTTCCAGTTATCTGTGGTTCATCATGAAGCTAATTCAGAAACGAACCAGAAGACAACCCATTCTGGTGCTTTGGAGTTCACTGCAGAGGAAGGTCAAGTCGGGCTTCCTCCTCATGTATGGAGTAACCTGTTTCCCCTAGACAACACTCCTTCACCTGTAAGTGCTTTAGTTGATGTTCGATATGTGTGGTTGCCTAAAGGAATTTATGCAAAGCTTCAACCAGATGTGGTTGGCTTCTCGGACATCCCTAATCACAAGGCTGTACTCGAAACGAGCCTCAGGCAGCATGCTACTCTTTCTGAGGGCGATGTGATCACTGTTAATCACGGGGTATTAGCTTACAGGTTGAGAGTACTTGAGTTGAAACCTTCCTCGAGTGTCTCGGTTCTCGAGACAGATGTTGAGGTCGATATAGTGGGGTCAGATTCACCTTTGGATAGCGCGAATCAGCATGTGTTGAAGCAACTGACTTTTGGAGTGTCGGAATCTGGAATGGTTGAAGAAGGAAATTACAATTACTATAAGTTCTCGATTGATGATCTCGTCTGGGAGACTGTCTCTTCTGGGGATGTTAGGATTGAGGTGAAGATCGAGGTAGAGACTGGTGATGGTGATACCGATCTTTACATTTCCAAGCATCCGCTCATTTTCCCAAACAGACACCAACATGAGTGGTCTTCACATGACATGGGGTCGAAAGTATTGATCCTGAACTCGAAAGACAAGAACTTGGGGGTGGGAACTTATAGCATTGGTGTGTATGGTTTCAAAGGAACCGCTAAGTATAAGGTTTTAGTGAGTGCACAAGATAATAGCACTGTCAAAGTGGGTCAGCAAGCTGGATCGACGACATCATCGGTGAATGCCGACACTGTTGAGTGCAGAAATTGCAAGCATTTCATACCCAGTATGAGCATTGCACTGCACGAAGCTTATTGCAGCAGGCACAATCTAGTTTGCCAACATCCCGGTTGTGGAGTAGTTCTGAGGGTTGGCGAGGCCAAGAACCACGTCCACTGTGACAAGTGTGGGCAGCCATTCCATAAGGATGAAATCAATAAGCACATGAAGGTTTTCCATGAGCCTCTTCAGTGTGGCTGTGGTGTGGTACTTGAGAAGGAACAGATGGTAAACAACTGGAATCCTTTTCCCTCGTCTCAGTATCTTGAAATGGCATTGCATTTTGTATTTTCTTGTTATGTTCACACAGCATGCCATCACTTAATTCATTTAGTGGCTTTAGTGGATATTGCATCCATTTTAGTGCATGAAGACGATTGCTTCTCTTACTGAATGTCTTGATAAAATTCCGAAAACAGGATTATGCTTGTGTATCTAACTATTGATTCAATTATCTGCTGCAGGTGCAACACCAAGCTTCTGTATGTCCACTGCGGCTCATCACATGCCGCTTCTGTGGCGACATGGTTCAAGCTGGGAATTCAGCCATGGATACGAGAGACCGATTAAGAGGGCTCTCAGAGCATGAGAGCCATTGTGGGTCTAGAACTGCACCATGCGATTCGTGCGGTAGATCTGTCATGTTGAAGGAGATGGACATCCACCAGGTAGCTGTTCACCAGAAGAGCTGATGTTATAATGTAAGATTTGAGAGAGAAACACTCCGGGGAAGCCATGTTTTTCTCCGTGTGATGTATAGCAAGCCATCTCAAATATATGATTCTTGATTTGAAGTTTCTGGTTGCCTTGGCTTCACCAGTGTTGTGCTGTTGGTGGAATTTCCCTCTGTGATAGATATAACGATATGTAATATTGCTTCTGATTATTTATGCTTCTCCAAAACCACCAAGTTTGGAGTTTCCCTTGAGAAATGGCATTGATCGTGTGATTTATGTAGTTTTAACATTCCACTGCAAATTCAGGCATTCTCCTGTGCCAGGAGTCCCAAAGCTCTACAAAATATACTCGCTCAAAAACACCAAATTAAACGAAGTTCTTTCTAGACCTCTATCGTGACTTGTGCAAGAAGGAAAATATTCCTTTTTACATGATACTGAAGGGGTTTGTAGTAGGGATGACCATCTTCTGTTTACTCATTTAGTAAACGTGGGGAATTCCCGCATTAATTGAGCAAAATTTGCTAAAAATTTGATAGCATCATAGTAATGGGGCAATATGGTTTTAGACTTCCTCGTCTCATACTCACACTCATGCCCGTTTCACAATGAACATTTATTTATATAAGAAAATCTATGGCTCATATTTTAATCTCGCGAGGATAGTATGACAAAAATATCTACAATCGTGAATATCCGCTTAAATCTGATATAATCAGATAGAGTAAAATAAAAGCTAGAAGAACTTTTAGTGGGTATGGATAAAATTCGAATCCGAATATTACGAGTAATGAGTCAACATGTTTTTCTCACTGTCCAACCCGAATACGTCCGTTAATGCACATGCTATTTTTAAGACATATTTGATATGTATTAATATTATATATACTAGTTAATTGGCCCGCACTTCGCAGCGAGTACGTTTATTGCATTATTGATCGATACGTTTATTGATCGCCACTTCCCTCTTGGGCTTGATGGATAGTTCCCAATCAACGGTCTCTATTGGAGGCTCAACCGAATCTTCGACTCCTGATAAAAAGTTTGATCCCTGTTGAATAGTCGCTCATTAGGCAAAACTTGCTATATATGGTAAATTAAGGGGGCATATGACGAAAGTTGACGACACCAGTAACAGTCTTAGCTTGAAGCCGCTATTGCTCAATTATATGGAACAAAACTATTTGAGAACTCCATGGGCTTTAACGGAATAGGAGTGAGCAATACTTACCCAGTTACCCTCCAATAGTAGCTGATCAAAGTAGGAAGTATAAAAGAAATTCATGAGTATAGACTTCTTCCTAATCACCAAGGTTAAGTAAGCCTAGCAATCGGTTAATGAGGTGGAGTAGGAGAGTAACTACATAAATAAATAAATATAGTTAATCCCATAGCTTCGTCTGGCAAAAGGACTTAACCAATCTAATAAAGAGTGAAAGTGGACTTAAGAAGGATTGACTTATGTAATGATTTCATATCTAGCTAGCATATCTAACCACTTAAGGGCCTAACTTAAATTTGATGGGATTTTGTTCCCCTTGTTCGTAGGTAGAATCAAGTAATGCAGTCAAAATCACGTTTCAAAACTTAAAAACTTACGATTTTACGCTTTTAGGTCACCAAAACGCTTTCGTTTCCATATAAAAACTTAAGTGTATAAAATCGGACTAAATTGCGCTTTAAAACTTAAATGCTTACGCTTCTACGCTTCTAGTTCACCAAAACGCTTTACGTTATTACGCTTTTAGTTCACTAAATGAGTATTCTTTTCATGAAATTAATTATAAAAAGTATATTTTACAAGTAAATCACCAACAATATGATGCATTTGAGATAAAAGATACATACCAGGTACTTGGATGCATTCCCAACTTCAATAGAGTAATAATTCACCAGCTAGGCTCTTCTCGAATTCATTAGCATAGATGAAAAGTGGCTTATTGTTAAAATGTATGTTTACGAACTTATTATTAAGATTCTATAAGTTGTTGTACTTTAGGCATGAATTGCATGTATTTATTAACTTATCTAAATTCTGTTCATTCATATTTTACATAGTATATGTCCTACTTAATAGATTTTTAGTTATTTTACAGTATGCGTCAAAAACTTACGCTTTTACGCTTTGATTCTACGGTTTACGATTTTACCCCTTTTCCGTTTCTAGGTAGAATCGCGCTTTTGACTGCATTGGAATCAACACCTCCGATATCACATTTTCCCCCAGCTCCAGAGCAATACCTAGGTCCCCAAGTGTAGCAACAGAGTGCAATAAAGACAATGGGAATATATTAGCATGAGACCCAGCCTAATAGCCTATTTATTAAACAGCTTCCAATGGAAGGAAGGGATTATGTTTAGAAAAAGTTATGGAAGGGGCATGCTACCAAAGCATCCATTCACCACTAACGGAACGTATACAATACTTAAAAACGGAACTTATACAATCGATTCTAAAGGTTCAATCAAAGTTTGTATAAACAGTCTGCTTAATCAAATGAAACCCAAGGTGAACGTCCTCACGTTCAAATTATATGAATGGCAAGCTGATCTATGGTATAAATTAAGAAATTAAAATCTTTTAAACGACTCCTTACCTCCTTCTGCCTCTCAAGATCACCATCAGAATGAATCAAACTGCTGAAGAATCTGCATTCCATTGGGAGTAATTCTGCGGTTACTGTGTTCCCCAAGTCGGCTAGAATTTAACGGATTGATGTTTTGGGGCTTTGATTTCCCCTTATCAAGATCAAAGACTGAACGAGTTCAGACGGTCGGGCGTGCGCAGTGAATCAAAGAAACAGATAGTACCCCACTGACGACCTCTTCTCCCCTCTCCCACAAATCTAATCTTTGCTGATTCCACCGTGCTCCTTCCATACCCGAGAGAGAAGAGAAGTTTAAGTGCCAGAACCGAGAAACTCCTGTCAATCTTGAAATTGGCCGGGGTTCCGTGTATGTTCTCTCCACACCGCTCACCAAAAGCATCGGCTTACTCAACAGAAAGATGTCAGCGAGGCTGAACCCTATGGCGGCCTTCAAGTATGCTGAAGAATCGGTAAGATACCACAGCTTTGACCAATGACCATCTCAGAACCCACCTTCATCTGACCGCCCCAGCTTAATCGACAACTTGTCTAATCTCCATCCAGTCGTTTGTAGGGGCATCGGAGAGATGGGAATGGGATTATCTTGGACTGGGAGAAGGTGAAGGGACGGAGAAAAGGGGAAGGGAAACGTTCTATTGAACTTACGGTCGAGATCTATACTTAGCTGAATCCGACGGGAATCCGCGTGCGTTTCAGGGAACTTACTCTGTACACTCGCACATCCCACTGAACCCCTAATGCAATTAGGCGCTATTTATTTCTTAATAATTAATAATTGTTAAGACGATCTCCGACAACATGATTAAAACACTTGTAATCACTAAACAGAGAATCGCCAGCTTGTCAATCAGAGATGGAAATAATAACAAAGTATCAGTTGCTTCAAACAATTTTGGAGGAGACAGACAACTCAAACGGCTGCAAATCCCTCCATAACGAAACATAAACGAATTTAAGACCGCAGGTTTCATATCCCCCAAAGTATGTATTGGACTGCCACTAACCGAATGATTTTGCATTGATTGGAAAGAGATACTCTTGAATCTTGATGAAGTAGATCGCAATTTATATACATACAAACCCTAATTTGCATATTAATATCATTTCCCTTTAACCCTTCTTCCGTTTTCCAATCTTCATTGTCGGTTACTTAATCCATTTCAGCAAATAAAATAAAATTTATCATACTCAACTCCAGATATAAATGAGATGATGGTGTCGGTCCATTTCTAATATAACAAGATTATATGATTTATGTTCTCAATTGTTAGATTCATGCGTTGAAAATTTACATAATTGTAAAATTCTTATCATTAAATGCATAAAACGACACATTTTAAATGATTCCAACACATAATCGAGATTGTAAGCAGCATAAACGGATAATTATCAACACATGATCAACCTATCCCTATGAGCATGCAAATTAAAGCCGGATGTTGAAGAAAGAATAGGAGAATTCATAACAAGAGCGAAAAGGAATCCAAAAGGCAAAAGAAAAAAAATAGCCGTTACTCAGGTCCCACCAACCAACCCATACCAACCACGTGCCTTTTAGCGCCAATATTAAACAAACCGCCGATAATAATCACCTCTATGGAAAATAATAATTTACTCAGCAAATTTAATGGATTAAGGACGAAGAATATATGTAATTGAAAGAAAAAGCAAAGATGAAACGGCAGAAGTTTGCTGGCTCTCCGTTGGTAGATTTCGTCGTATTAATTCCTTTTAATACGTTTTATAACAACATCGGGTGAGGAAAGCCAAGTGAAAACCAAAAGCCAAACCCCAGGATTTGCCGCATTCTTGCTGGCTGATCGGCAGCAAAGCCCCGAACTCTGACTTCCTTTTGATTTTCAGCCAATTTTCATCAAGGCTTCTGCTTTCTCGCCTGGATTTTCTTCCGGCGAGTTTTTCTAGCTCCAAGTATCCTCGAACTGGGAAAAGGAAAGCTGCTGCCTTTTGTTTCCTTTCCAGGACTCTGGTTTCGTTACGGCGTTGTGCTTTACCTTGCGTTTTTGTGCCTTCCACATTTCACTGCCGGGGTCGAGGAATTGTGTTGGACTCCAATTGCGGAGTTCTCGGCGGGAGCTTTCTTCATTTTCGGCGGCTTGGCTCCGTGAACAGGTGAAATAAGTAAAGCTTGCGGCTTTTAGGACACTCTCTGTTATTTTCTTTGGCATATTCAAATAGAAAAAAGTTGGGTAGTTTGTTTGTCTCGGTAGAATGCTGAAGAGGGGAAACAATCGGGAAAAAGAATGGCACAGTCTGTTTGGTTTCGGAGGAAAACAGAGAGGCCTCTGTTCTTAGAGTGACATTAAGTTTCAATGGCTATCTAGTTGCTGTATGATTGATAAGGGTACGTCTCTGTCTTAATAGAAAGATAGTTTTGCCTATTTGGTTGTCAAATTAAGTTGCATGAGTTTCCTTTTGTCTATGAAAATCCAAATTGGAGAGATGAAAATGGGGGAAAAAAACTGATGAATTCTGACCATTCTGTTTGATTTGATTGGGATTCTCGTTTCAATCGCAGGAAACAGAGCCCGGAGGAAAGTCGCAGTGAACATTAGATATGGCGACAATAAGTGATATAGGCGTATCAGCAGGAATAAACATACTCAGTGCATTTGTTTTCCTCATTGTATTCGCCGTACTTCGAGTTCAGCCGTGGAATGATAGGGTCTACTTCCCCAAATGGTACCTTAAGGGTTTGAGGACTAGTCCAACTGGGTCGGGGACACTTGTTGGGAAAGTTGTGAATTTGGACTTCAGGTCATATCTCAAATTTCTCAATTGGATGCCTGAAGCTCTTCGAATGCCGGAGCCGGAGCTAATTGATCATGCTGGGCTGGACTCTGTTGTTTATTTGAGGATCTACTTGTTGGGGTATGATGATTTTGGACTTCTGTTACCAAATGTCATGAACATCAGTACTTGTAATGTATGCCTGCTTGTCTTGTGTTGTTGTTGTTTACTCTTTTGTTTATCTTCCAATTGCAGGCTTAAGATATTTGTCCCAATTGCAATTCTGGCTTTTTCAATCTTGGTGCCCGTTAACTGGACCAACAATACATTAGAGAAGACTGATTTGACTTTCAGTGACCTGGATAAGCTTTCTATATCCAACATTCCACTTGGATCACCCAGGTAATAGTCACTCCCTTTTGCCAAGTGATGATATTCTTGCCTGCCTGGTTATTGACTGATTTTGCTGCATCATTCGGTGACACAGGTTCTGGACCCATTTGGTGATGGCTTATGTATTCACTTTCTGGACATGTTTTGTGTTGAAGAGGGAGTATGCAACTGTGGCTTCAATGCGGTTGCATTTCCTTGCATCTGAGCATCGTCGCCCTGATCAATTCACGGTAACAGGAACCCCTAACAATCGCCACCCTGATCTCACAATTTCAGCCAAAGCATTGCTAGATATGAGCTTATATTGTGGTCCATTAAGAAAAAAGTTCTTACACTGTCCTCTCTTTCTTTGTGTAGGTACTTGTTAAAAATGTGCCACCAGACCTGATGAATCAGTTGGTGAACTTGTAGAGCATTTCTTTTTAGTCAATCATCCAGACCATTACCTCACTCACCAGGTTCGAGTCCATAGATTTCGGGATTGCATGAGTTTCGAGAAGTTTCTTAGAATCTGACTATATCGAATTATATTCATGGGTGCTTACTTGCAGGTCGTTTACAATGCTAATAAATTTTCCAGCTTAGTCGTGGAGAAGAAAAAATGTCAGAATTGGCTAGACTACTACCAAATCAAATTCTCAAGAAATCCTTCTACTAAACCCACAACAAAGGTAGTATTGGTTATTCCTACAGTGTCTGGTTTCCATACTTATCATATTTGAATTCATTTGCAAGAGAGAGCTTGATGCACTCTTATAACTAGTGGTATTAGTTCTCTTCACTAATGTATTTTTATCTTTTTCGTCAAACAGACTGGTTTTCTTGGCATTTGTGGTGCAAGGGTGGATGCAATTGACCACTACACATCTGAGATTGAGAAGATATCAGGAGAAGTAAGAACACTAGTCCTAGTGTTCGTTAAGCCACATATCTAAAATCACTTCATGAACGATCCTTAAACCTTCTGGTTTTCAACCACAATGCTTCTTTCTCCAACGTTTTTTTTACAGATCTCAATAGAGAGAGAAGGTCATGAGCAACCGGGACGCTATCATGCCAGCTGCATTTGTTTCCTTCAAAACACGGTGGGCTACTGCCACTTGTGTACAAACACAGCAATCCAGGAATCCAACAGAATGGCTAACTGAATGGGCTCCTGAACCCCGGGACGTGTACTGGGACAACTTGGCCATACCATATGTTTCACTCGCGATCAGGAGGCTCGTCATTGGTGTTGCATTCTTCTTCCTCACCTTCTTTTTCATGATCCCAATCTTATTTGTGCAGTCCCTTGCAAATATTGAGGGAATTGAGAAAGCAGTTCCATTTCTGAAGCCAATCATTGAGATGTAAGTACTTGTAGCTTTTTATGCCAATCTCTTGCTTTGCCTTGCTCTCTTTCTCTACTTGAAATTTTGTAATAGTCTCTTATACTTGATAGGCTTTTTTTTTTTTTTTTTTTTTTTTTTTTTGCAGGAAAGTCATAAAGTCTGTTATCCAAGGTTTCCTACCTGGACTTGCTCTCAAGTTATTCCTCATCTTTCTCCCCGCAATCTTGATGATGATGTCGAAATTCGAGGGATTCATTAGCCTTTCCACACTGGAGAGGAGATCTGCAACTAGATATTACATTTTCCAGTTCATCAATGTCTTCCTCGGCAGCATAATCACAGGAACTGCATTTCAACAGCTGGACAATTTCATACACCAGTCTGCAACTGAGTATGAATGATCTCTCCATGCTACTTACTGTAAGCTGTTGAATTTTACATAGTACAATTTTAAAAGCAAACTGACTTCATTGTAATATACTGTGCAGGATACCAAAGACTGTTGGAGTCTCGATTCCTATGAAGGCGACTTTCTTCATAACTTACATAATGGTTGATGGGTGGGCTGGAGTTGCTGGCGAGATACTTAGGTTGAAACCTCTGGTAATCTACCACTTGAAGAACTGGTTCCTTGTCAAGATTGAGAAGGACAGGGAAGAGGCAATGGATCCGGGAACAATTGGTTTCAACACAGGCGAACCGTAGATACAACTCTACTTCCTACTTGGCCTCGTATATGCAGTGGTGTCCCCTATCTTACTTCCCTTCATCATCCTGTTCTTCGCCCTGGCATTCGTTGTTTATCGACATCAGGCAAGCTCACGGTCACATAAATTATGTTCCTTTCCAGTGACAACATCATCCAATATGTCTTGACAAATGATTGGTTTCATTCATGAATCATGATCATTTTTGCCAGATCATAAATGTGTACAACCAGGAGTACGAGAGTGGTGCAGCATTCTGGCCCGATGTCCATGGACGAATCGTGGGTGCATTGGTCGTCTCACAACTGCTGTTGATGGGGCTAATGAGCACAAAAGAAGCCGCGCAATCAACACCGTTGCTCATCACCCTCCCCGTGTTGACATTGTGGTTCCATCGCTTCTGCAAAGGCAGATATGAACCCGCCTTTGTTAAGTATCCATTACAGGTTGGTAAAAAAGAATGGTGTTCTCCCATTACAGGTTGGAAAAGCACATTTGCTTAGTGAAGTTCCCTTCTTTTTTCCAGGAAGCGATGAGGAAAGACACATTAGAACGCGCCAAAGAGCCGAACCTCAACCTGAAAAGCTTCCTCCACAGTGCATATGTGCATCCAGCCTTCAAGGAGGTGGACAATGAAGGCGATGAGAGCGACGGGGAATTGGTCTCGACGAAGCGCCCTCAAAGTAAACACAGCAGTAAACACAGTTTTTCATCTCTGCCTGAAGACCCTGAACGTTCACTGCTTTGATTAATGGCTACATTGTAGGGAGGAGAGGGGGTTTGTCCTTCAAACTTCTTCCCCATTGTAAATGCTCTATCTACTCTTAATAGGTGGGAGATATAGTGTGTGTTGAATCAAATAGGGGGCATTTGCTAGAGAAAGAATAATAAAGATTAAGATCAGATTTTTGTGCTTGTATGGTTGGATCTTTATTTTCATGGAAGCTACTGCTATTTTTGCAGTGTAGATATGCTTCTAGAGCACAAATAGATGTCTTTTTCTCGTGTCATCAAATAGAAAAGATCAAAGAAATTCGTATTTTCGTACATCATCCTAAATCAGGACTTGAAATCGAATCTTAGATTTGAGAATAAAGTGTTTTTTTTTTACTAAATGAACAAGCCTGTTATTATTAATCGAAAGCAAATGAATAAATGAAAATTGATTCTAAATGTTAAATAAGTTGCAGTTTAAGAACCTATTTGTAACTTGCACCAGGAATACGAGGGCTACTTCTATTAGGAAGTCCAAACTATATATTTTTTTTATAAGGAAGTCCAAATTATATTAAAAGTGTCATTTGTATACTAAACTTTTCAATATAACAAATTTGACACAAACTATATCGTTTCGTGACATTTGTCTCATAAACTATCAAAAATGAAAAATCTAGTACTAATTATATAGATGTTGACTAGATTTTTTGTTAAATACCGACGGTCAGCGCTGGTCAATATAAAAAAAAAATTAGTTCGGTATCAAATTTGTTGGGTCGTTTGGATGGAGTATTTGTATGAGTTATTTGGGTTCAAATAACTCACAATGAGTTATTTGGACGCAAATAACTCGTTTGGCAGCGTTTTACTGAAATGAGTTATTTGGACAGTGAGTTATTTACAAATAACTCATAACGAGTTATTTGAAATAACTTATACCCATGTGTTATTTCAAAATAACTCGTTTTATCACTCTCCTTTTACCAAATACCACATTTGCATGGTTCAACCAAACGAGATACTTTATTTCAATTACCATTGAAATAACATTGAAATACCACATGGACAATGGCTAAATTACACGTTTGGTCACTCAAATTATATAAAATTTTCACGTTTGCCACCCGAATTACTTTTCTTTCATATTGACCACTAACTTTACGAATCGTTTCACCATTAGTCACCGGCCGTTAAACTCCGTTAAATTTGTCCTACGTGGCAGTCAACTATAAAGTTTGACCGTTGACTAGATGATGTGGGAATTAAAAAAAATTAAAAAACTTTTATTTTATCCAACTCATCATTCCACTTACTTTGTTTACACGATTTATCATATTAATTAGTTAATAAAATTAATAATTTACAATTTACAAAAATTAATAAATTACAATTTACAAAAATTAATTATCACCGACCCATCACCACCTGCGGACTTTTTACAACAAAACATACAGCAACTCGATCAACTACGTCGCCTGTGTCTATACCAACGACGACAATGGGTTCCACCGGTACGAGTTCGCGGCCTGGGAATCGTACGAGGACAAGATGAAGAAGAAGGAATAGGAATAGTCATACGCGCCAGACCCACCGTGCCTTACATAGCCGCCATCTCCGCGCGCCTACACTCCCTCCAACACCTTCCACCGCCTCCCACCTCCTCCGGCCACCGCGGTCTTCCTCGAGTCGCCGCACCACGAGATCCTCGTGCTCGAGACCCTCCGCCTCAGCCTTCCTCACCTCCACCGCGCCCTCGAACAAGTAATCTCCCAATCTGCCGCCGTCCACGTCCTAATTCTCGACTTCGTCAGCACCGCGACGCTCCCCTCGCCGTCGAACTCAAAATCTTCGGATACGATTCTCCACCTGCCTCAGGTTCCGCCTCCACCTCCCGACCATCCACAAAGCCCAACCCACTGTTGGTTCGAGATTCGCCTCCTTCGTCAACCCACATTCCTCTTGCTTGCCACCCTCACGAGCTTGGTCCGCCCTCGGGGAATGAATTCGCGCTGTCGCCGCTGCGCAAGTTCTGACGAAGCGGAGATGAAGAAGAGGAATTGGAAATAGGGTAAATCAACCGCCTCTATAATTTCTTCCTCCCGCTGCTGAAAATTAATTTTTGCAATTAAATTAATTTTTATTAAATAATTAATATGATAAGTTTTATAGACAAAGTAAGTGGAATTATGAGCTGGAAAAATATATATTTTTTAATTTTTTAATTTCCATGTCATCTAGTTAACGGTCAAACTTTATAGTTGACTGCCACATAGGACAAATTTAACGGAGTCTAATGGCCGGTGACTAACGGTAAAATGATTCATAAAGTTAGTGGCCAATATGAAAGAAAATTAATTTGGGTGGCAAACGTGAAAGATTTGTGTAATTTGAGTGATCAAACGTGTAATTTAGCCCATGGACAATAAATAAGTTATTTGACTCTACAAATACCACATTGACAATTAACCCATCCAAACAACCCTATAATTAAATAGTTTAGTACACATGACACTTTTTAAATCATTTGTGCTTCCTAGTTGAATTACCCTTTTGTTTATTCGTTAAAAAAAAAAAAAAACAAAAGCCTTTTGTTTTTATTGTGTTCGTCGGCAAGAACAGTTCCACCTCTGTTCCCTTCTTCCTTCAATAATGCAACGATGCAAGAGAGAAAGCTAATTGGCAAAGGGAGAGAGATCGCCAGATCACCTATCCGCCACCCGGAGCTGAATTTTTAGATCGGCGGTTTCTGATTAAAACTTGGATCTCCGGCGATAGACAAGTTAATGATGGACGAGGTGATGACCACCGCCGACGCAGCGACACTGGGCAGGGCGGCGCTGTCTATGGCTCAGACAGCCTCGTCGGCTCTTCTGACTCCTCCGAAGCCTCCATCGGATTCTTCTTCTCCGCCATCCTCGCTGCTTCCGAGCAACCTCCCGCTGATTACCGCCTTCCTCGCCTTCGCTCTCGCTCAGTTCCTCAAGCTCTTCACCACTTGGTCAGCATTTCGCCACTCCCCCTCCTTTCACGTCTCTCTTTTTTCCCTCTGTCGATCACGAAATTTAATTTCGTGAAATCGGAAGAGTTCTTTGATTTGTGTCGAAGTTTGAGGAGGTCCTTTTAGGCTCATAATTTGAATACTCCGTGTGTGGATTGGGACCTAGATGATCAGGTTCAAGGAGAAGAGATGGGATTCTAAAAGGATGGTGGACTCTGGTGGAATGCCGTCTTCACATTCCGCTACCGTTACCGCTCTGGCTATGGCAATTGGCTTGCAAGATGGAACCGGATCTCCTGCTTTCGCCATTGCTGTTATTCTCGCCTGTATTGTATGTTCTATCCACTATCCATATTTGCTATGCTAGTTCCCATCTTTACCCACATGAGAATCCTATGAACCATTAGCTTAGAAATTCGTTAATGCACTTTACGAACTTTGTCTCTATGTTTAGAATTTCATCGATGCAGCATTAATTGTACGTGTGGATTTATGAGCTCGCACGCTTGCTGGTTATGTGACTGGAAAATGCTTCAATTTTTCAGGTGATGTATGATGCTTCCGGGATTAGACTTCACGCCGGTCGTCAAGCTGAAGTACGTGATTGTTTTCAGAGATTCTTTGCTTCTATTTGATTAGCATATTCCACATTTGCGCCCTAAGATGACCATGTTGCGCTGTTTCATTCTACCTCATCTTGCAGTTGCTGAATCAAATTGTGTGTGAGTTTCCTCCAGAACATCCATTATCCAGTGTCAGACCTCTGCGCGAGTTACTTGGACACACTCCATTCCAGGTTTGCTTCCTTTTTATAGAGCAGTTGCCAGTTTCATGGCTTATTGACTCTTGAAGAGCCATCCATGATTACTCTAGGCAAAAGAGAAGCTTTGAGGGTAGGAAAACACTGATCTAACTCATGCTGTCAAACATAATGCAGGTTGTTGTTGGAGGAATCTTGGGTTGCATAGTAGCTTATGTAATGAGAAACACTAAATAAATTAAAATGGGGTACTGAATTTCTTAACATCCACAAGGGAATGCAACAGTTTCAGTATATCGCCACAAATTGGAAGTAGCCGAGGCAGGGAAAGGAAGGGACTTTTATGTACTCTAAGAACACCATACCTCCAATAATCTTTATCGATTCTAGAAAAATCCATACCCAATTCTTTCTGTACTTACACTGCTGTAATTTTGTTTTTGTTTTATTCTGTCAATGGCTCCTTAGTCCATTGTTGTTGGAAATTCTTGTCAAACCATGTTCAATGTAATGGAAAAGCAACTTGAATCCAATCTACTTCGATTATTTGCCTGGAGCTTCTCTTTTGTACATAGTCGTTACCTTTTAAGCATACTTCCATTGGTACATTACTATTTCTATCTTACTGTAAACAGAGAACAGAAGGATATAAAAGTTATCTAGACACCTGCAATAACAAGTACCAAGTTCTGTGTATCCTTCTACCGGTATTGATTCACTGAAGAATTCCTCTAGGTTAAGACAGTCCACAAATGCTATTAACTAGAGAAGTTTCTTGCCCATGTGCAACAAAACTCCTTCTCGTGCAGTTTCAGCTTTGCCTGCTTGAAAGTTGAAACGGCTTTCTCCTCTCTCCTCTCTCTCTCTCTCTCTCATCTTCACTTCACATACTTTAAACACCCTCTTTTTAATGCGCTCTCTCTCTCTTCTTCCTTTCTGCACCCCCCACATTGTAAGGGTGAGCAAACAGAGTGGGTTTCCAGGTGTTCTTTTTCCTATCTTCTTTCAACTCCCCACTTAACCATGGCAAAGAAGAAGCCACTTTCATCCCCACCAAAGCTAAACAATCTTTCATTGTTTTTCTGCAAGCTGTCCACCAATACTCTCCTTATTTTGTGCCTTCTAGTTTATATCCAGTTCAATCCCCATCACAACAACCACTTTCCTCATGATCCATCATTCTCTTCAAACTTTGAGACCTTCCAAGGTACCCCTAAGATTGCTTTCCTCTTCCTCTTCCTCCCTCTTGACTTCCATGGGACAACTTCTTCAGAGTATGTTTCCGTATCTTTCTCATTTCATCTGTATTGTGGTTGCTTCCCTTTGTTTCTTTCGAACATTATGTCTCTAATTTTTATTTTTTGCGGGTTGCAGAATGCTGATGATGGAAAATTCTCAGTCTATGTTCATTCCGGGCCTGGTTTTGTGTTGAATGAGACAACCACAGACTCCGAATTCTTCCATGGTCGACAGCTGAACAAGAGTGTTCAGGTAATATTGTTTCTTCTCTTTCCATCAGATCATGGGAAGTTTTTTTTCTTTTCCGCAAGTTCTCAATTGTTTTCATTAACCAGTTTATTCAAAATCTCAACTAAACTTCTAAAAAACTTTATAAGTTTATCTCATCCAAATATAGTATGATTCCATTACAAAAAGTAGTTGTCATAGAATCTTACGTTTTTTACTATTGGTGACTAACATACTTCTGTACAGTTAGTTACAATGATTTGAGTTTAATATTCCAATTTTGCATTGGTTGTTTGTTCGATGTAAAATCTGTTATTGACCACCTTGAGTGTGAAATAAGGATTGAATGCGGAATGTTTACAGTTTCCAAATAGGTAAATGTTCTAGAGTTATAAAATATTTTTAACTTTTGAGGTGGATAAACATGAAACATCATCGTGATCATTGCAATATAAAGAAGCAGGATTCGAAGAGAAAGTCCAGAAACTGGATAGTTTATATCTTTTGCTCTAAAGCATATTGCTTTTAATCTCTGGTGAAAAATTATAGTTATTTTGCATGATCCATATAATATTATGATTATTCGGGTCGCTTCTAAGCTTCTGATCTTTTGTATACCTTGGTGTTAATCAGGTAGTATGGGGTGAATCAACCATGATCGAAGCTGAAAAGTTGTTGCTCGGGGCTGCTCTTCACGATCCAGCCAATCAGAGATTTGTTCTTCTCTCTGACAGGTTTGTTGGTGTACTGGTTTTCCTTTTCTCCTGCCACTGCAGTTATTAGTATATTCTTATAATTACATATTTTGGTATGTTTATCCTGCAGCTGTGTACCTTTGTACGACTTCAGCTACACTTACAGCTACATAATGTCCTCCCCCAAGAGCTTCGTTGACAGGTAAAGGCACAAATTCATTCCATTTTCTGTGTTCATAATACATTTTAGGTAGGACTTTTCTTCTTCTTTTGTAACAAAAGCTGAGGTTTCCATAGTCTGTTGTGTGCTGCTGCAGCTTTGTTGATGAGTCAAGAGGTCGTTATGACCCTGACATGTCTGCTACAATTACCAGAAGTAAATGGCGAAAAGGATCACAGGTCAATTTTCATAGACTATGTAAAAATTCGTAGATTTACTCAAATATTTAGGATTAAAGCTTCACGAAATCAAATTGAGGGTGACAAGTTCTTAGGTCTGGATTTACTAAGCAGTGGATCACTTTGGTGAGAAAACATGCTAAATTTATTGTTAATGACAATTTCGTCTATCCCATCTTCAAGAAGTACTGCAAGGTACTTTCAGAGTATCATAGTTTTCAAGTACTGTTACTTTTTTTTACGACACTTTCTTGTAACTTTCGTCGCCCTATGTTTCAGCGATGGAAAGCTTGCAGGAACTTGCCTAAGAAAATCCTGCAGATTCTGGTGAGTTGAATCCTAATAATAATTATGAAAAAGTTTGCTTTCTTTCCCCACATTGAATCTGATGGATGAAAATTTTTTCTTTCCCCAATTTTTCTCCACCGTCAATGAGGAATATCGAAGCTCTCTACCTACCCACTGACTAAATTCAATCCTTATTATTTACTTGCAGATGAATGAGGTGGAACACGAGGTGGAAAGGAGGACACTGACCTACACACTGTGGGACAGTTCCACAGCGAAAGACTGGAGGCAAATGTGGCACCCAGTGACTTTCAATCACCCTGACGCAGCTCCCCAAAGGATCAAAGAAATCAAGGTGACTCACTGCTTTCACTCGTACTTGTTGGTAGTTAATATTGGTTGAATGCCTGTTTTTACCAAGTGCGAGGAAAAGTCTCACCTTCTGACGAAACTTTTTTGGTGGAACAACTTATAAATATTGACAGTGATATCAGAGTATGATTAACTCCAAAATTAAAGACTCCATGTCTATATTGTTGCGTCCTTTATAATTGAAACCACGAAGAGTTTTAAGTTTATATATAGTAACACTGACTGACTTTGGCAGCAAGTCTAATACTATAAAGGAAAGTAACTAACTTCGTGACGAGTCTAATGGCTCAAGTTAATATTGGTTATGTACCCTTGCATAACTAATTCTGGACCCTAAGAAAATTCTTTTTTAGTGGTCCAGAAAATTTAGATATAATGCGGGGAATTAAAGATATTTTATTTTCCCTAGTTTTCTTAATTGACATGTATCTTTTTCATTATACTCGAATTTCAATTTTTTTACACAGATGGAACTAGTTCGTTGTGCTATCTAAAATGAAATCCATTTTCAATATTTGTTTAGTACAAAATTTCATACTTCTCATTATCAACTTCATACTATATGGTATCTCATTCATTTTTAATTCGTTTTTTAAAATTTTTGCATAGAAGAAACGAGTTCATAATGATCTATTTGATCTACAAATTTCTAAATGAAGAAAATACAGGACCAAAAAATAAAACACAATACAACCCTAGTATGGGGAGGGCCGAGGGGGGTTGATCTTGTGGTACACAATGTTGAAAGTTGTAAATGACAGTTACTATACTCCTACCTACTATCATGTATTCAACTATCCTGTAGTATGAATATGTTTATACTATCATGATACGCTTTCATACCATATAGTATACTCTTATTTTGATAACAATCAATACCATCATGGTATAAACTGATAGATAATGTCTCAATTATATCAAAGTGAAAATCATTTTGAATAATACAATTAATCTGATTTATCTATGCAAAAAAATTTAAATTCCGAATTAATATGAGAGAGAAATTTTCCGTTAAAGATTAAAGGAGAACAAATTGAAGGCTTTCTAGTGGAGAGAGGGGTGTTGATGTGACGAATTCTAGTTGGGTTATGCGTCGTTATTGACCAGTAGGTTACTGATGGGATCTGCTCTCGAGTCTAAAGGTAACTACTAGGACAAGGAGTAGGGAGGCCAAACTAATAATGAATGGGAGTCTAGTGAAGCGTGTACTTCAAGTAAGGTTTGGTAAATTACAAGATATATACTAGTCGTACGTGTTATACACAGGTAGGGATGGCAATTTCGACCTGATCCGATTTATCCGACCTATTTGATCTGTTTTGGGGCGGGTCTGACCCGCCCCGTAGGAGGGATGGGGCGGGAATGAGTATCTCTCATCGACCCGACCTGCCCTGACGCAGACCCGCCCCGTAGGAGGGATGGGGCGGGAATGAGTATCTCTCATCGACCCGACCTGCCCTGACCCGCCCCATTCTCGACCCGTTCTGGCCTAAGTTACATGTAATCTTAGTCAAATTACTTAGGATTTTCCTCTTATTACGTCATATTTTAGGTATAATAAAGTTGTAAATAAGTTAAAAACTCAATTTATCCAATAATTTAATTACATTTTATCAAATTATGGTTTCTTTCTTGGTCTTTTAATTAAAATAATAAATAATTCTAATATTTTTCGCATAAATTATATACCCAATGGGTCGATCTGCCCCGACCCGCGCCCCATGATAAATTACCCGACATGGACCGGACCTGCCACGGGGCGGGTATGGGTATCGAGATACCCGTCCCGGACCTGCCCATTGCCATTCCTATACACAGGAGATGTGATGCTTTGTTTTGATAATTGTCGTTGTATCCATCCATATTGGATACCTAATTGAGCAAAGACATCGTGATTTTGTGTAATTATCTACCAGTAGCTTGCAATAGACGGTATGTATCCTGCCAACAACATTTTTTACTGGAATGTGACGCAGGGAATCAATCACGTCCGATACGAGAGCGAGAACCAGATAGAGTGCTGCAAGGTGGCTAACATCTACTCAACGTGCTTCCTCGTCGCCAGGAAGTTCAGCTAGTGAGCAGCTGTGCGGCTTCTGAAAGATGGTGTGTTGGGTTTCCTCAATCCAGACGCTGCATTGTTGTTGAGCTCTGCATCGTTCTTTCTGAGGGGGAGGGGCGAATTTATGGTCTACACGTTAAACTTTTTCTTCCAAAAGATTTTCAGTTGATTGCTTAAAAGAAGCATTGCTTTTTCAGTGTAATTTGAGCCTTGAACTCTAAATGAGAGATGGAGAAATTAGAAAGCAGTTGAATGATGGTGCGCTTGGTTCCGATGATCCGGAGGCTGGCAGAATTATCATGATCAATCCACCCGGCAGGCTGGCAGTAGCTGGTGGATATTGACAGAGACCATATTATTTGGTGTGTAGAGCTACTATCTCCTCTTTATATGCCTTTGGGATGACTGATTTTATGTCCAAACACAATGTTTCGATGGATGTTCGATAATATATTTACTTTTGTTAATGTCAAATTCAAACCAAAAATGCTACATAATTAGAATGTTCTGCAATAAGGGTGACATAAGGTTGTTTTTGTCCTATTTAAGATATTCGAATGTGGAACCTCCAGGTTGAAAATTAACTCCAGAACCATTAGATCAAACTCGTTGTGTTAACTTTGTGGTTTCCCTCTTACCTATGGTTGTCATGCTGGTGGCATGTCGACCGATTGAACTTGGTTCAACCTGTACCAGTCATGAAATTGGCGTGACACCACCGGTATGACTGACATGATCCACTTACGAATTCTAAGCAAAATGACATCATTTTAATGAATTTAATTAATAAAAACATTAATTTATTATTCATTTTTATGAATTTAATAGTCAAAAGCTGATGATATTTGTTGGATTATAAATAAATTGTTCACAAATATGTTTTGTATATGATTAATACATTGAATATTAATCATTTTCACATTTTTTTAAACCGGCATGAACCGACACAAAAGGATGGCAAAATACACTTGCATAGCCATAATTTTACACTTTGTGGCAATAATAGCCAAAATTTGAAAAATACACTAAAATAGTCATTCCGTCCATAACTTTAACGGAAATATCAAGGATGCTGACTAGACTAACGTTTATGAATGATGTGGCATTTTTTCCATAAAAAATACAAAACTGGATATTTCCTTATTATAATTAAATGAAAAAACAAATAAATAAAATAAATGTTGGGGTCGTTTGGAAGTTGCGATAGTTTTGTTGAGATTGTCATTATGCATGTATTGTTTACAATGCATCGTTTTTTTTGTTTTTAGCAGAAACAATACATGAATTATTTCTGTGATGTGACAGAAACTATCACTCATTTTGAGTGATTGTTATATCTCAACTTTTAGTTGTGATTGTTGAGATAGTTGAGTTGAGATTGTTTTGTCTTAGCTTTTAGCTGATGCGACATACACAATCACACATACCAAACGTTGTATTCTACAATGCATCAAATTCGACAATACATGTATAATATTATACATACATTCTCAACAATACATCTATTTAACAATCGCAACTTCCAAACGACCCCTTATATCTTCCTCGCAGAACCCTCCCCATCCCCTGTTTCCCTTTCTCGTTTCTTCCTCCGCCATCATAGTCGGCGACGGCGAACTCGAAGGAGGATGAGGAATGGATCGGAGCGGCAACAAGGATTTGATTCTCTCGCCCACTGCTCTTGCCTGCAAACCTCAGTCTCATTTTCCCTCAAGTCTCGATCTGCCATTCAACCAAAGAAAGGTGTTTGTGTGTGAGGAAAAAGGTTAATCGAGTGGAGAAAAGGTGAAAGCTAGAGAGAGAAGGAAGATCGGTGGTCGAATGGGAGTAGATTTTGTTTCGTATTTGTGTGTCCCAGATCCATTCCAAACTACCGCCTCTTATCATCGACAACGAATGGAGGGGATTTTGTTTCGATTCGAAATCGAGAAACCCAGAAGAAAAGTTTTTGATTTAGGGTTTTGTTTCAATTGATTCCACCTTCCATTGATTTTAGGAAACCATATTTGTGCATGACGGAACAGCAGCCGCTAGCTCAATCGCGGACTTCCGCCTTGAATTATTCCGGATCGACAAACTGAAGAACCTTGATCACCATCGTCGACGGGTTCGAGTCTCTGTTTCTCTCCGTTGATCTGATTGGTAAGAAACTGTGGAGGAGGGATCAGGGAGGCAAAAGCAATTGTTGCCGGCGACGTCGGTGGGAGAGGAGGAAAATGATGAGATGGGTTATATTTGTCGGCGGCGGCTAGGATGAAGGAGATCTATCAAATTCTCTAAACCTAGATGAACAAGGTTGGTTCCAGGCAATAGCGTTATTCTGCTAACGCTATTAGTGGTTAGTATATACTAACACGGTGAGATGAGGAGCCACGTAGGCGAGCCACCATCGGAGGGGTGAGAATCGCCGGCGGCATTCTGTGAGGGGGGAGAGTTTTTGGGGCCAAGCCGAGCCACATTTGGGACAGAAATAAAAAAAAAAAAAAAAGTAAAACCCAAAATTTCAAACCCGCCCAAAACCCAACCTCAACCCGCGGTCAGCCACTCTCCCCTCTCTCTCCAGAACTTTCGAACCCTCTCTCTCTCCACGAACTTTCGAACCCTCTCCCTCTCTTCTTCTTTTCTCCCGAAAACCACCACCAACCGCGAGACCACCAACAGCGACGATCTTCGACGGCGACGACGGCTGCGAGGTCGGCGACTTGTTGCTGGTTGTACCGCCGACGTGGCCCTTGAAGCTCTCCCGACCGACGAGGAAGAAGACACCGCCGACGGAGAAGAAAGAAGAAGACGCCGCCGACTTCGCCGACGAAAAACTCCGCCGCCGTCGCCGCCGATAGTTGGAGGTAGAAGAAGACGCTGAGGTTGTTCATTTTCTGTATGGATTTGAAAATTTATGTTAGGGTTTCGGTTTATGGATTTTTTGTGTGGAAATCTGGGTTTTGTTTATGGATTTGAAAATATATGGTTCATGCAATTCGATTTAGGGTGTTTAGGGTTTTGATTCTCGATTTCCAGATATTGTGTCCGTGGGATTCGAATTTGGGGTTTAGGGTTTCGTTTTGGGGGTTCATGGATTCGTTTTTCGATTTGTAGATTTAGGGTTTCATGGATTCGAATATGGGTGTTTAGGGTTTTTTTTGCAGATTACCAGATTCTGGGTCTGTGGGATTCGAATTTTGGGGTTTAGGGTTTCATTTATCGATTTGTAGATTTTGGGGGTTTGTTGGATACGATTTTGGGGAATGTAGGTATTGTTTGTTGATTCCTTGATTAAATGTTACATGGATATTAGTTTTATCACTTCCGATACTTATTGTGATCATTTTATATATTGTTTCATTTTGTTTTCTCGAATTCCATTTTGGGGGTTTGTTGGATACGATTTTGTTCAATCTGGGTATCATTTGTCGATTCCTTGGTTAAAGATTATATGGATATCATTTTTGTCAATTGTGATACTAGTACGTTGGATTATAATACTGATGTTTATTTTGCCTCGGATACTAGTCTGGGCATATATTATATTCATTGAAATATTGTGGATACTAGTACGTTGGATTATAATACTGATACATATTTTGTATGGATACTAGTCTGGGCATATTTTATATTCATTGAAATATTGTGGATACTAGTACGTTGGATTATAATACTGATACATATTTGGAGAAATGGGATACGATTTTAAGATTCATGGATACTAGTGATACTTATTGTGGTCATTTTGTTTATTGTTTCAGTTAATGGGGAGACCGAAAAAGAAGCCCAACAATGATGGAGAAGGATCATCAAAGCAGCCACCTGATGTACAACAACAAGAGGTTTAATTTCTTACTCCGTTTCTCGATTGGTTATGTTGGCTAAAAATTACTAGTCGGATGCATTTTAATATTTTCATTAACCGATAGTTTTCTTAATATCTAACTATTTTTCAGGAACAACCCGTGAGGAAGAAACCCAAAACCGTTGCACCAAAATCTTCAGCGAAATCTCGTGAAGCAGCTGGATCATCACAGCAGCCGCCGGATGAACCACCACCAGAGGTTTGATTTCTCACTTCGTTTCTCGATTAGTTATATTGGCTAAAAAAAATAAACTGATGTGTCTGATGTGTGGATATCAGTTCTGTTAATGTGGATACTTAACTGTTCGTTTTAGTTATTTTTCTGGGTATTATGGATATTTTTTCATGGATATTAGTTATCTCCGTTTGGATACACTTTTGCTTTACTACGATAATTGTATTGTATATAAGTGTGCGTTTTAGTTATTTGTCCAAGGATACTAGTCTGGGCATATATTATATTCATTGAAATATTGTGGATACTAGTACGTTGGATTATAATACTGATACATATTTTGTATGGATACTAGTCTGGGCATATATTATATTCATTGAAATATTGTGGATACTAGTACGTTGGATTATAATACTGATACATATTCTGATGTGTGGATATCAGTTCTGTTAATGTGGATACTTAACTGTTCGTTTTAGTTATTTTTCTGGGTATTATGGATATTTTTTCATGGATATTAGTTATCTCCGTTTGGATACACTTTTGCTTTACTACGATAATTGTATTGTATATAAGTGTGCGTTTTAGTTATTTGTCCAAGGATTATGGATATTTTGCTTAATATATAACTGTGTTTCAGGAACAACCCGGGATGAAGAGAACGAAAATGGTTGCACCGAGATCTCGTGAAGGAGAACCATCAAGGCAGCCGCCACCTGCTATTCCAGAAGTTGAGGAGGAAGATGAGGAAGAAGATGATGATGGAGAGGGAGAGGGTCCATCCGGCTCATATTTCAGATTTCGTGGGTCCACCTATTCCCTCTGCAAAATTATTAAGTACTGGAAAGGAGATGCTGAATACTATGCAGCCTGCAAGAAACAAGTCGAGAAGGCAGGATTCGGGGGCCTATTGGATCTTCGCATGCCGAAGATACCCAATCTCTTCATGGATGACTTGATGGCTGCTTATGACTTAGAAACCAGTACTTTTGTTTTTGGGGAAGGAGAGTCGAAGAAGGTCTTCGACTTCACAGCTGAGGATGTGGCACGTGTCTACGACCTTCCTCTCGGTGGGTTTGTGATTGATTTGACGAACGTGGAGGGGGGGATGGTTGACAGCTTCAGCGAGGAAGTTGGCATGACTTCGAACAGGGCTCGCATGGTTTCTATCAAGAAGATGCGGGAGTTGGCCTGCCCAGCCAACGGTCCCAGACCACCCGTTGCAATTGCTGTCAAGCAATTCTTGCTGATAGCTACTGGTTCCCTGCTCGCACCGACATTTTCTCGGAAAAGCAAGCTGGACTTCGCCCCATACTTAGGTGGGAGTGTTGAGGACGTGAGGGTGTACGATTGGTGCACATTTATTGTCCGTGAACTGAAAGTAAAGTTGACTGCTGCCAAGAAAAAAGAACCTAGTGCAAGGTTGAAATCGCCGTGCGTGTGGGTT